AGCCACCTCAGTGGATCACCAGAGGTCCCTGCTGACCTGTTATTATTCTGCATTTTTGGGTGTGCAGATGGATTTTGCAGCTACTTTTTGGCTTTTTGGTTTAGAGAGATTATAAAACCCACAGAAACTTCCACCCTAGTAACCAAGTCATATGAAAACTTTGCTCTGAAGTCTAAAACTGTAAGCTGCAAAGTCTATGATTTTAAGACAAAATATCACTTGTTTGTCAAATTATTCTATTTAGAATTCACAAAGTATGATTTCGTCTTTATCATATTGCATACATTTAAACCTTGCCTGGATATTCAGATTGTTTAAATAAAGTTAAGCATGGTAAAAAATTTTCAACTTATTTTGCCTAAAACATAGTCAGAAAGTGAGCTAAGGACCCTTACTTAGCTAAAATGTCTAATGGCCAATTAGAGGTTTTATTCACAGTTCAGCATGTCTGCAAATCAACTGCATTTTTCAAACCGAGCATACAGTAGACTTGAAGTTTTTCATCACCTATTTTTGATCTTTTCATTAGTTGAGAAGTAGCAGATGATGGAGGTCTACAAGAGGAAGTAGTAGTTGTTTGAAGTGGCAGTTCTGACACAGAAGTCACTTTCATCACAGTGAGACACAGTCTCTGCATCTTAATGAAATCCATAGTGCATGTTCATAAGTGGCCAGTAACAAAGGTGCTAGAGTCTAGACCATGGTGCTTGTTGCACTTTATTAAGTGTTTCTTATTATTAACTGGTATGGTAATGGTAAATGGTATGTGCTTGTATAGCACCTTTCTATCCAACTCAACACTCCTTACAATCTGTGTTCTCATTTACCCATTCATGCATCACTCTATTATCTCGCTACAAAGCTAACCCAAGACAGATCATAATATAGAGACTAGTCATTGCTTTAAATCACACTCATACACTGATGGGACATACAGCAGAGGCAGCGGGGGTTCAGTGTCTTGCCAAGGGACACGTCAACATGTGACTGAATAGTGGGGAATCAAACTGCTAACTCTCACATTGGAGGACAACCATCCTCTAACCTCTCAGCCACAGCTATATAAGCTGTACAGCATACGTTTTAAATATTAACTATTCACTTTTTGTGTAGAAAGACTGATTAAATTCATTTTGTATTTCTTGATGGAGACTTAAGTAATATGTATACACCCACCGGCCACTTTATTAGGTACACCACGCTAGTAACAGTTTTGTGGTCATANCTGGCTTGGTTCATTTTTTTAGGTCTAACTTAGTCGAAGTTTTACAAATGAGACTATAACTTAGGTAGTAGTAGCTGAAAGTCATCTGCTCTGCATATTATGAACATTAACACATCTTGTGAGAACTCGCAATATAACATATTTTTAAGATTTGACCAAAACAATTTTAATTCATTCTCTTCTCAAAAAAAGTTAATCTTAGTTTAGAACTCTAGAATGATATACTCTCTTACAAAAGTTGATTTCAACTTTCATCATCTGCAGTACAAATGTGTTCCTCTTATTTGACTGATAGGTGTCAGGTTGTGAAACATGGAAGCTCTGTGTCCTTGTCTCAGCCCTGTTCCGTGGGAGTTCCACAGGGTAGTATGCTGGGCCCATTGCTTTTTCTATTATTCAAATATTTTAATGTATGCTGATGATACTGTTCTGTTTTGTCTGATTTCAATATTGAATCTATTAATAGTCAGTTACAAGCAGATCTTCAGACATTTCATGGTTGGCTTCAAGATAATATTTTGTCAATTAATG